CATGGAACACAACAGAACCACACAGAAAACATGGAACACAACAACAGCTTGTCCTGCATCCCTCACACTAATGTATAAAAGCGTTGCCACCTTTCTCTTCACAGAGAAAAGCAAGAAACAATTCTTCCCAAGAATATTTCTGGGTTTCACATTCTTTGAACCTCAGAGAAAGAAAAAACAATTCTTATCTCATTTACTGTTCCTGTGTTGTTCACAAGGGGAATGCATTGTGGAAGATTGTTTACCTGAAGGGAATTGATAATTGGATTCTGGTGTGAGTGCTTTGATTCACTGACCAATTGGATCCAGGTGTGTGTGTTGGGCCTGTCAGCTGACAGTCACGGGTGCTTGGCAGGTTCAGTTTAGATGTAATGTAATATAATATAGAATAATGTAGTATAATAAAGTAATTAATTAGCCTTCTGATAAGATGGAGTCATCCTCATCACTCCTCTCCTTTGTCAGGGGCAAAAATATCTACTATATAAGAGCACTGCCAAAGCGCTCATGCTAGGAGTAAAACCACATGAAAATCTTATCAGGATGCAAAAATAAACAAAAGGATGAAGACTACAGGGTATAAACATGAATTAATCAAACCAGCAAACTCTCTAGTGCAGTCTCAGGTTGGACACTGTGACAACTGAATTTTTTTCAAGTGGCCAGTAATTGTGCCAGTAACAGCAGTAACTTGTTCAGCTAGGGCCCAAAGGTTATTTTGGAAAAAACATAAAGAACTGGAAACAATCACACAACAGGGCAGCTTGCGGTGCAGAGAGGTTTGCCAGTCCTGCCACAACAGAGGCACTGAAGTTCCCACCTTAGCACAGCAGCTCTTTTGCAGGTCCTTAATCATGCAGATTTGATCAGGAGAGAATGTAAAGCACACTGTTCAAAACACAGTGTCAGCAGCATAGCACAGGGCTGGTGCAGGTGAGGAGATGGGAACCAGAAAGTTCCTTATCAATCCTACAAGGCAGAACCCACTTCTCCCAGGCAAAGAAACACACACACTACACCCAGAATGAGGCACACAGAACCAGGGGAAAGGGGCACAGCTTATACCATGGACATCTCCCACTGAGAATAGGCCCCACCACAGCAGGACATTGCTTTACAGAACTGAGACCTGGAGTATTTGGGGAGGGATGAATGGCTGTTCAGATTCAGTGAAGACTTCACTGTAACAGTTCAGCATTCAGTTTTTGGCAGGGGCACAGGGTTTGTTGCAAGGGGATGAGAAGGAAAAGGCAGATGAGGTCACAAACAGATTCTGCCATACTGCACAATAACCATGTACTTCTCACAGACCACAGAAGAGCTGCTATTTCCACTCACTACTCCCAGAAATCTTCTCTGAGTCTAATGCAGTGAAAACTATTTAGCTGTCATCAGGTCCTTGGATTTGATTTCATAGCATTTTGCAAATTCTCTGGTTAAGAATTGCCTCTCTTTTCCTTTTAACAAAATAGAAAAAACCACCACAGCTATAAAAACATCAACAAAGCAAAACAATTACCTGTACTCCCTGGTCCTCAGAGAATATAATTTAAATGCACAACCCAGTGCTATGACTAGCAGCAAGCCACACACGAGGCTGCCAATGAGGGCAGCTGTGATGACCTTCCTGGGGACGATCACCAGGCAGTTACGCTCATCACTTCCATCCTGGCAGTCCTCTTGCCCATCACAGCGCCAGGTCTCAAAGATGCACAGATTTGTCCCACAATGGAAATTTCCTGGCTGGCAAGTAAAGCAGTTTTTTTCATCTGAGCCATCTGGACAGTTCTTCTGGTTATTACAGCGGTCAAGTATTGAGTAGCAAAGCCCACTGTTTCCTTCACATGGGTATTCATTCTTCTGGCAAGCAGGACAGTTCTCCTCATCCTTGCCATTGGGACAATGCCACCAGCCATCACAATGCTGCTTATCTGTGAAACACTCCTCATCACTTCCACAAGGGTGCTCCCAAGGCAGGCAGTACCCTTTCACCTGATACGTTGCATTGAATCCATGGCCAGTGCTCTTGGAGCGGGCATGGTACGAGACAGTGAGCTGGCCCTTGGACGACTCCACACTCACAGAGTGCCTGTTGTTGTGGTGTGAGAATGTCTGCATTAATTTATCACCTCTCTCTCCAATGCCATCATACACCTTCACATAGTCATTGTAGCCCAGCTGCAGGTCGAGCTGCAGCAGCACGTGCCGGTTGTCCTGCGTGTCCACGTACCACGTGCAGCGAAGGTCTGACCTGCTGTGGTCTGCACGGAACAAGTCTGGGGAAGCAAAAGATCCATAAAAATTCCCCAGCCTTTTGCCACAGGAAAGATCAGGACAATTATCTTCATCAGAACCATCCCCACAGTCTTTAACTGAATTACACCTCAGCTCATTTGGCAAGCATTTGGTGGAGTGCCCTGTGCTGCACTGGAACATTCCTGAGGGGCAGATGCTGGATGGAGGGTCTGTTGGGGGGACAGTGCAATTCTTCTCATCTGAGCTATCACCACACTCATCCATGGAATTACACTTCCAGGTACTGGGAATACACTTCCCATTTGCACAGTGGAATTCATCTGACTGGCACGCAGCCTGACCTATCTTTCCTGTGAAAGAAAAAAAAAAATCAGTATCAAAAAAAAAACCACTATCAAAACTTTTGGAACGATCTGATATCACTTTTTAACATCTATATCATGCATGTCACAAGCTAATTAGTCAGGCCAGTACACTTCAGCAACACTGTTAAAAAGCCACATATAAAAAATATCAGTGTTACCCGACCAATACCTTACAGTCATCAACGGCCCAAGATGCTTGTCAAAAAAAAGTACTCCTGTCTTGCAAGTTTTGCCACAGAGAGTATGAAGTGAAGCCAAAAAACCCCCAAGATTTTACCTCTAATATAAGAAAGGCGAAATCCCTGAGCCTGTCCTGAGCTTGATGCATCTGAGTGAAAAAATATCCACACATGGTCCCTTGCAGAGATGAAAGATGGAGGTATAGAAGATCCACACACTTTGTACTCCTCCCTCTTGGAAGATGGGCCAATCATCAACCAGTCTACTGCACACTTCTGAGAGTCTTCCAAATCAAAGTTCTTGAAGCTGTTCAGAACAAAAGAAAGCACAAGTTACAAAGAGGACATGTATCGGGAGCAAAGGCTAACAGAGAAAGAGACTCCAATATTGGGCCGACTTTCTGCATCAAGCAGTGCTGACATAAAGGTAACAATTCAAAGATAATGAAATACATTCTATATACCACCCTGAGTATACAGAAACAAAGCACATCCCCTAATTTGGAAGAGCACCCCTCTCATAAGCATAAACATCACACCAAAGTAGCTCCAAAAGCTGAAAGAATGAGTCCTCTTTTAGTCAGTCCTTGAACAAAACTGCTTCCTAAAATACAGATATGAGGAAAAGCAAAATTCCAGAATAAATTATACAGAAAATAGATTAATTTCAGCAGTTATTTCCAACTGTACAAGTTATGAAACTAGGGATGACAGGGTTCACCACTGTCTTGGAAAAAGAACAATTGAAAGCAGTACAAAGAATCCTAAAGGGCTAAGTATGAGAGACAAATCCACTCTGTGAGCCAGGGATGGGCAAGGAGAGACCAAGAAGAGAATAGGGGTGGAAATAGAACCTAAAATCTAACACCATTATGTTTTAATTCAAAGATTAAAATATTCTATTTCTGGGAGTGCAAGTGCAGAGCAAACAAGACTAGAACACAGTCAAATTTCTAACCCTTCTGCTGACACAAGCCAAGTGACTATTCAATATCAGCAGATCTGGTGCAAAGAGGAGCCCTGTCTGTTTGCAGAACACTGAACACAACTGGATAATAACTCCTACCTGTGGCTCAGGAACCAGATGTGGTATTTGTTGTCTGATGAAACGGATTGCATTTGTATGCAGCAATCTGCAATGACAATAGCAGATTGCAGACTGCACAGAAAAGCATACTCATTAGGAAAGGGCACACTGTTCAGAACACTTAGAAATGAATTTTGGTCCTTTTTTATTTAACTCAGCTACACCAAATTAACTTGCTAGAAGTTGTGCATACTCCATGCAAATATCTAGACAGAATTTTCAGAAAGGCAGAAAAGGTGTTGCAAAATACAGAACTCTTTCCCTAAATGATTTTTCACAAAATCAAAGACAAATTCTTTGAAAAAGATAATGGAAAGAATTTTCTGATATCAATGTGTATTTACAACAGGCTGTCAATGCCTGCCTGATCTTGACCTTTGAAGCTGAAAGGGAAAGAACAGCAACTATGTAAACTAGCTAATTCATTTAGGCAGGAGACAGCCTACCCACACCTCTAGGTCCTGCCAAATACATTGGCTTAATAACTCTCAAAAAAAAAATGTTATCAGCAAGAGCACAAGAAGGTAAGTTAAAATGGAAATTAAGAGATGACAAACAACATATGTGCAAGGACATTCCACCCAGAAATGTCCTTCCTCTTCTTTCTCCCACCAACCTCTGTGTGTCTTCTCAGCTGTGAGGAAATATTCCCACAGCACTTAATTCTTTGCTATAAGCAATCCCATCAAGCTTCTGAAACCAGCATATTTTGCAAGGAAGTTTTAGATGACTGTGCAGACAAAATAAAAAGATTTAAGTACTCAGCCATTCAAAGATAAACCAGAGCATTTCTGTTACAGGTGCTCTGCATAAAATGTTTTTAATGACCAAGAAGTGAACAGCCACTGCACCATGAAAAGGAATTACCCAAAGTATCAGGGAAGCTGTAGGTACTCACACCAAGTTTGTTTGTTATGTGAGATGTGAGCCAGCATTACTGAGCTACCACAGCAGTTTTGCTCTCTGTGACTCATTTTGGCACCACACATCATGTAGGGGTTCTATCATCTCCTTGGAGGATTGTTCATAGGAATTTTTAAATGAAAACTTTTTGACTAAGTGTTAGAAATACCCATATGCCAACAACAGACGTTCTTAAGAAAAGGGAACAGTCACAAAATCAAGAAATGGAAATTGAAAATTGGGAAGGGGGGGGGGAATTACTAAAAATTTTTATTTTTGTATGTTACAAACAAGTTCATTTACTACATCTTTTGGTGCTTTACTTTTGTAGTTATTTTAGATGTACCATAATGACCCTTAGAGATGTCAACAAATTGTTCTCCTATCTTACCCAGCTCCCAGCACTCCCACTGGGTCCCACAGCCACTCATTCTCCTCACTCTGCTGAAAAGAGCTACTTTTGTCTATCAAGTAAATAATTCAGCATGGTTACACAACACAGACTGCACAACCCAAGGGGAGAATGTACCCACACAATAAGCTGTCTATAACTTATTTTAAAAAGCATTTCTTTCTAGGAGAAAAAGAAAAATATTTTACACTTTCAAGATTCATACCAAGGAATAGTGTAGAAAAGTCAGCCACATGCACATACCTTGTTTACAAACACCTTTGCAGGTGACAGCAATACTCTCAAGAGGCTGCATTTGTGTACAATTAATACCTTTTACTTGCACCTTAGAAGTCTAGCAATGTACATTGCTAATAAACAGCTTTTTTTGGTTGTGGAAAAGGAGCAACCTTTAGTTCCAGCTTCCAATGCAGAAGCCCAGGCATACAGAGGATAACTGATTTTCCTGAGCATCACTTGTGGATCTCAGATTCAGAGCAGAATCCCACATTTCTTCACTGACAAATCCAAACTTCAGCCACAGAGTACAAGGGTGATGAGGCAGAACAGACTTGCAAGGAACCACTGTGGTTAAAGATTCTCCAAGAACACCGTGCCTCTCAGAGATACACAGGCTACTGGAAAAAATGCCTTGCTATTCAAAAAGGGAAATACAGAATATTCACAAGAACAAACGCTGCTACAAAAACAAACATCTTAATCCCAAGTGCCCAGAAGTTTCAAACACAATTTCTCTGTGTGTGTTCTTGTTCTAATGTGAAGTTTTATGTGTAATAGATACCAAAGCAGTTAGAGAATTTCTTCTGCTAAGAGACAAAGCAAAGTCAAAGCAATTATGTTCTCCCTTATGCAAACTAATCAACAGATGTATTTTCAACAAACTTTCCTTTGATTAAGGCATTGTCACTATTTCAGCACCCTTTTAAGTTATACCCCTACTAGAAGCATAATTTTCCTCATTTACATTGATGGTGATTTTACAAGACAAAAGCATTATATACTTGAACAAGCTCTCACCACAAAAAAAAACACTATCTTCTAAAGAAATATGAAAACAATTTGAATACCTATGTTTGCACTTGTAAGTATATAAAATCTGGCTTCACTTCATAATGTATTTGTGACAAGGTTTTGTGTCAGAGGTTTCTGCCATTCTACTCTGACATTAATGATTTATTTTGGCCAAGACTCCTGAATACTGCACTCAGCCTCTATTGCTTAACTTCTTTCATCATCTCTAATTAGATCTAGAGCTGCTCTGTTATATCCTCTGAAGAATAACTTAATCCTGCTACCCACAAAACATTTATTTACTCAGCTGAGCTTTGTCAAACTGGAATGCAAATTTTTCTATCAAAAGGATTGAATGGGTATTGGTATACATTGGAAATACAGGACAAAGACTTGTGCTTGTACTGCTTGTAGGACTACACAGCCACTGTACAGTCTTTGGAAAAGTACTCAAGCCTGTAGGAACTGATCTTGAGGGAAGTCCCAGACCTTTTGTATCAAAAATCTACATTTTTTGTGAATGAAAGAAGGAGCAGGAGCCATACTGAAACAGAGAGTACTCATGTGTAACATCATCCCTATCTCATGCAGCACCAGCCAGTGCCACAGTATTTTTAAACACCTTGGGCAGGGAAGCACAGGATTTGAGAGGAAAAGCAAAGACAGTTCTGCTCAGTCCCTAATCCTCCCCAGCAAAGCCCTCTGACAGTTCTGCAGGAGTGGAACAGGGACCCAGGGGTGATCCTACCATGCAAACTGCAGGGCACAGGGTGTTAAATAAACTCCATTCCAGCCTTACCCCCTGCAACCCCTGCTCCAGACACCCCCTCCACCCCAGGGCTTCAGTAACAGAGCAAGGCTCCCCTGCCTGGTGATAAATGCACCTTGGCACCTGGTGATAAAGGGAACAGAACCTGCCTTTCCTCAAGGCTTTTTTTCCTCCCCACAAGCAGAGCACACAGCCCTAGTTCACAGGGCAGGGAGAGGAAAAGCAGTAAAACACTGGTATTTCCAGCACCAGAGCTAGAATGTAAACAAAATGCAACACCCATCACAGAACATCCTTTAAAATGGCCTGGCCTTAGGCTGCTCTCACTGCTACCTGTGAATCTCCAAAACAATACAGGAATATAGCAGGAGACTGGTGTACAAGATCAAAATTATTGGATCAAAATTTGCAGGTTTTGTTTCTCCTGTGTGATGGTGTTCAGGTGAAAACAGGGCTTTTCAGGTGAGGGAAGAGATGAGAATGTTGACTCCATGTTCAGAAGGCTTGATTTATTATTCTAAGATATATATATTACATTAAAACTACACTAAAAGAATAGAAGGAAAAGTTCTCCTCAGAAGGCTGGCTAAGAATAGAAAAGAAAGAATGATAACAAAGGCAGCTGCCTCAGACTCTCTGTCTGAGCCAGTGGGCTGTGATTGGCCATTAATTAGAAACTACCACATGAGACCAATCCCAGATGCACCTGTTGCATTCCACAGCAGCAGATAATCATTGTCTGCATTTTGTTCCTGAGGCCTCTCAGCTTCTCAGGAGGAAAAATCCTAAGAAAGGATTTTTAATGAAAAGATGTCTGCGACACTCCTGAAAGATGTTATTGTCTTGCTCTTGGAATGTGTCTTCCACATTTTTATAGAGAAGTACAACAACAGCCAATGAAACACTGAAAGTATTCAGAATCTGAGGATCAGAACAACCCAGTGTGAACTGAGAAATGCAGCACTAAGTGTTGTTTTTACTGAATTCTGCAGAAATCAGTAAACTCATCTGAATCTTTTTCCAGTGAAATGACACTGAAATAGAAGAACCAACAGTAAACAGACCTCCAGGAGTTTACAGGAAATTACTGTATTACTCATACATACCAGTTTTTGCCTATGTACTCACATGAAGTAACAGCCTACCGTGGTATCTTCCTATTATCTATTTTTACATTGCTGGAAAATACTCCATTAAACCAGACTACCATAAACACACATTAATAATCTATATACATATGAGAAGAATGTGCTTCCTGCAAAACTAATGCTTAGCAGAGCTTAGTTTTTTGCCATCTGCACTGAAAGGAACAGTAGCAGCTAGGGAAGAAAAAGTACTTCTATAAATAATGTAGGGAATTCTCCACAACCCTTTCAGTAATTTAGGCACGAGGGACTACAGATTAAAGAAAAAGAAAGCTTTCTTAGTAACTGGGAAAGGACAAACATGGGATGCAAAATCTGAATGAAAGCAATTAGTAAATAAATAAAAAAGTAAATGTCCAATTTGGCCCTCTCAACTAATTTTAAAATTGGAGAATAAATATTATGGATAGGTCAGTAAAGCACAGTCCCAAAATAAAACCGTTCAACCAATTAAGCAAAAAAAAGTTATTTCTATTTGCCAACTTCTCACAGACAGTGTAGACTGTGAACAACTGATGACTTAATTGGCTCATTAAAAACTCCTGCTTAACCACTGAAGCACAAGGACCTGAAGTCAGGAGAGCTCCATCCCACTCCCAGCTCCCAAGCAGCAGCTAACTGCATAACCTTAGACAAGACACTGCCTAGCAGGGGCTATTTCTTCAACTAAATGGCTATTGTGAGGTTTTCTCCAATTAATGTCAAGTTCTGAAACATATAAATTTGGTAAACAGATTGTGGAGCAGTCCCTTTAACTCTTCACACAATTACAGACCAGCAAGAATACATGAGCAGGCCTCAATTTTATGCAGAAATTGAAACTCAAATGGTATCTGACAATTGCTTTTTTTCAAAGCCACTGAAGTGAAAGCCAATGAAGGTGATCCCCTCACCTCAATTAATAAGAGACAGCTTGAGTGGCTCACTAAGGAGATTGCTTTTCAATACTCTTATCTTGAATTCTGAACATGGGGAACATTTTACTTGCAGTCCCCTAAATTCCAGTAATAAAATAATAAATTTATACTCCAGCCACACCAGGGTTAATTACAACCATCAAGTAACAGCAACTGCTAAACAATTTTTTTTCATAGCTGTGAGGAAACATAAACCTATAAAGCCTGTAAATGATGGTACAGAGGCAGTTACTGCATATGATGTGTTTATATGATCTGACATGGTTTTATATAATCCTCTGTGAAAAGAAGGACAAAAATAGAGAAAATGGGTGGGAAAATCAAATAGTTTCCAAAACAATAACTAGCAACTGACCAGCTGAATTTAAAGAGATAAAACATAGTCCTGGAAAAGAGTGGCTACAGCTTGTTCACAGTCTCAATAGAACCATTCCATCAGACACACAAACCTGAAAGAAACTATTGAATATACAGAGTGATATAAGCCTAAGGAACATAAACTTCCTGTTCATGGGAGAGCTCCCTCAAGGATTTATAAAAATTAAACTATAAAGCAAAACAATAGGCATGGAAATGTGAGGATATGAAGAAAACACATGAAAGACAGACATTAAGACATAGCTTCTAAAGGAGATGGCCACAGAAGACAGCATCTTACACACACATGTAGATCTGGTCACTGTTCTACTGAAAGCTGCTGAAAAATAGGTTTATAAAAAATAACCACCAAGTGCAAACAGTTTAGAAAAAAAAAAAACTTTCAATTGCAATTTTATCCCTTAAAGACTCCTGCTGTATCTCATTTTATATTTCCCTTACATAACACCGCTGTCTTGCTGTCAATGAGAATTCAAGATCAAAGGAAGTGCATACTGTGTAACACAACACAAAGGAGATGGGCTTTTCTGAAACCTATCAAAATGCAGATGTTAGCACAACAACTGTGTTTGATTTTCCTAGGAAAATGTAAAAAGCTACTCTTATGCCCTTACCAACACATTGTTAGAATAAGAAGCATACCCAACTGGAAAGCAGAAACATGTTTGCATTTGAAACCCCCCAGCCTAGGCAAGTCAGCTCCTTTAACATCCCTGCCATTGCAAGGGCAACAGCCTTGTCAAGGAATCCTCAGATGCTGTAACATTCTACATTTCATACCTGCAGTGAGTCATTCCAAGCACATTTATAGTCCCAAACACAACATCACCAGTCCCTGGGATGCAAACACGTTGTTTCTATTGTTTGCATGTGCAGAGGAGGGCAGGTATGGCTGTGCACTCAGTGAGAGAAAACAAACCCATTCAGAAATCTTGCCATTCATATTGCTGTGCACACATCTGAATTGTACACACATTATTACCAGCTGCCACACCTCATTTGTTGTTTCTCCAGCCTGTTACACTCACACTTGCAGAAGAGAGTTCTAATTCTAACTGGACTCTGGGACATTTTCACAGCCTAAACTGCAGTGTTATTCTCCAGAGTCAAGTCCTGTCTCTCATTTGCCTGCTTTCTCAGCTTCCAACAATTTCTGCAACAAATTCCCCACATCCAATGTAGTGCAATGGGGTTTAAAAGCATGTTTCTATTTATGAATTTCAAATGCTGGCAGGTATTTACTACATGACTTTTGGTGAGTAGTTCCTATTTTGAACCACGGATGCTGGAGCCTTCCTATTTTCCATTTGTGGCAGATTTGTTTTCAATTTCTGAGCATCTGCACTTGAAGAGGTTTTGCAACCCTTTTAAGCAGCTGAGCAAAAAATGAGCAGATGGTGTCAGATGTTTAACAATGCTAAACCCACCCAAAAAACTTTTCCTAGGTTTTATTTTTTAAGTAAGAAATTCTTGGCTCATGAAGGACCCCACCACTAGCCCAGAGAAATTAGGCACATTCACAGTATGCTCATATTATACCCTAAAGATTCTTCACAAACCATCTGCAGTACATTTTAGTCTTCATTGAAGAGCATTTTTCTAGAATTGAGCTGAAATTGTACCACAAATGCTAACTGTTACTTGATTTGTTGGAAATAAATATTAAGCAGAAAAGCATGTATCTTTTGGTAAACAAGTAACAATAAGCAATAATTATCTTCAACTGTCTATTAAGCATAGCACCATTTCAAGACATTGGTGAAAATGCTATTTTTTTTCTAAGAATTTTACATTTCCACTGAAGCTGTTGCAGGTTTTATAGCCTTCACCTACTCCTATTTATAAGCAATGAAGGGAAGGGGGACTATATAATGTGAGTAAATATATTTGCTGTTTCCCACTCCCTCAAATGTCAGGGCTATATGGAATCTCACACAGGCATTGTGAAGATAAATACATTAAAAGACCACAAGTGACTTCTGTAATCACAGATGTCAGGAGCAGCCTACAGAAACAAACCACAGTGAAGCATTTTTAACTAGAGAGAGGTGCCCAACCTAGAACCATGTTCCAGGGTAACCAATAAGCCACAGTGAAGCATTTTTAATTAGAGAGAGGTGCCCAACCTAGAACCATGTTCCAGGGTAACCAATTTCAGCTCTCTTTGATCAGCCAGTGCCTCTGAACACAGCCTCACATTGGTGTATCAGGTAAACTCCCATTTTGTTTTGTTTCAGCAAAGCAGTGCTTTACCTCCACAAATATCCAGCCATACCTAATTGTTATCATGTCTCCATGATCTCCTTGGATGTACCAGCTGCAGTTTATGGCTGGAGGGTAGTTGGATGGCCAGGAAGGGCTGTAGATGACTCCCCGTCTCTCTGTGTGCTGTTCCAGCTCTCCACTGCAAGCAGCTGATAATAAAGGGAGAAAAATAATATTATTAAGGCTTTGACTAATCAACAATTCATATTAGCTTCAAGAGCTTTCATCAAGTTTCTGGAGACTGCAGACATATGAGAGTGAACAGTTTTATCCCCTTACTGCTCTCTTCCTTGCCCTGTTTTTTAATTAAGACACCCACACCAAGTGTAGGTAAGCATAACCTGCATTTCAATGCAGGACCAATCAATAATCCTGTATGAATTTACCACAGGCCACAATCAATATTACTGCATGGATTGCCAAGAGGATGTGATACAGAAATCCTTCTGACCAGCCTCCAAAGCCTAGGCAGGTCACCCAGCAAGTGAAGAACATTCATATTAACTGTAAAGTAACTAGGAACTCATTTTGTTGTGCCATGTTCCTGGCCATGCTGTTTATTCTCTTAACCACATGAAGAGTTTGTGAGGGTTAAAAAAAGATCACCACCCACCACACCCCCACACCTCCCACAAAAAAGTAAACTGCAGTCCAATGTTAAATGTTTTCATTGAACATTACTAAAGTACTCTAAATTCCTTCTGAACCCACATAGATGGGAAAAAATTCAAGACAGGGAAAGGAGCAAACAAGGCCAAATAAAGCTCAGCATTTTCAAAGCACATTTCGTTCTTCCTATGGAAAACAGCAGGCTTTATCAAATACTTTTAATTTGTAATTAAGCAATTCAAAAATGAAAATTAAATGTTCTGAGGACAAGCTGAAAAGCTGTTCTGATAAGAAAACATACTCCAAGCAGATTACAAGAGGGAAAATTCTCTGCAATGCAATAGCTATTCTGAACATTCTCCAAAAATATTATTTAAACTATTTTTAAAACAAATTACTATCTAGAGCATGACTTGTGGACTGCAGCTGAATATTTCATTTTTGAAAGAAGCTTACATTCTTGTAGCTGAAAAATACAGAAAGGGAAAAAAAAGATTGCCTATACCTTGTCACCTCATACACATCCAAATACACTGCATTATAAATGAGAGATTTACAGTATGGCTTGAAATCCAGCCACACAAATACACCGCTTTCAATTCCCAGCTGGGATCAGATTTGGCTGCACTGGGGGGATGGAGGAAGGATACCAGCACAGCTGCTTGGCTGCAGTCAGGTCAGGTGGCAGGGCTGCAGCACATCCCCTCAGGAACCTAGGCTGGCACTGTTCTGTTTGTTCACACTAAGCACTTTTGAAGTGAGAGCCACAGGAATACAAAAAGCACCAGGTGAGTAACTTACCTGAGGCAAAACATAAAAATGCTATTATTTCTACTCTCCACGTAGAGCATTGCACTGAAATACAAGTATATAATTCCTACTAGTTTCAAAGGCCAAAAAAAATACAGAATACATAAATACATGAAAACATCTATTTCCAAACAAATATTTTGCAGTAATGAAGTTACAAAAACAAGAACAAGATTTTTGTTATCGCATTTCTAGAACGAGAGTAGCTCCATGCCAGCTGCTGGCAAATACTGAGATGCAGTTGCAATTATAGAATTATAAAAGAAATTTAAGATCCACAGGACTTTCCAACTCCAATTCTCAGTTTCTTTGGGTCTATAACTGTGCTTCTCCACATACTTGTTACTGCATCAACATATCACAGTAGCAGAGGACCAAGAGCTAGCAAACACATAGAGGAGCTGCAAAGGCTGCATCTCCTGACTGCCAGGTTAACAACACTTCAAAATGGGAAGGAAACAGAAAGTGAAAGAACAAATACAGCAGACAGCACTATCGAGAAGCTTCCAGTGACACCTGTGCAAATATTTCTGCTGTCCTTGTACCATATTATGTTCTGGATTAATATCCGTTATTCATAGTACTTGCAATAAAAAAAAAATAGTTAAAATTACACAAAACTGATTTAGTTTCTATTCTGAGGAAGTCCCACTGACAGGCTGATGGCTCTGCATGAGCACTTCCATTCACACATCCATCAGTGTAGTTAGGGGAGCTATTATTCTCCCAAATACTTGTTTCTCAGTTTTAGGAAGTAATTACAAAGACTGAGCAATAGTTATTTTACTATCCCAGCTTTTCTGAAGTAATATCACTACATATTTTCCTTTGTAATCATTTCCTTATGTAGAGGATCTTCTGTAACATCACAGTTCAGGTCTTCAGTGAGAAATGCTTTTTCTTACTAACACTGCACATCTGATAGAAAAGTGAGGCAAGAAAAAAACAAGTGACAAGAGAAACAGATTCTTCCTTTCACCAGAAGAACTGTAGCTGTGCAAATCTAAGGCCATAGCCAGGAAAGGGCTGCACTAACACTAAATGCCATTTTTGGCAGCTCATCTGACAATGGCTATTGTTGCCAATACTTTACCACGGCCTTAGCCCCTCTGACACATATCAAGCTTTTCAGACTTGTCCTACTCAAAATCAAAAGGACAATTGCTTAGCTCTTGCAAAGGGTCCTGATTTGAATGGACCGCAAATCTGAATTAATATCTGTTTTGGCTTAAGACAATTTAAAAGAGAAGCATCTGGGTCTAGCTATCTCCCTCAGGGATCGAAATAAGTAATGAATGTAAGTAGATTAAGTGAGAAAACAGCCCTTTACTAAAAAGCAGAATAGCAACAGTCAGAAACTGTGGCTGAGACAGTTTAGTCAGAGACAGAGAAACAGAGAACTTTCCCAGGCATCGTCCTGGGGAAGTTGTGGGAAGCTCAAAGAAAAGAATTAAAATAATTCTTATCTCAAGTCTGTACACCTGGTGTTTGTGAACATGTGGAATGTTGTATGTGATGTTTATGGACAACTAGGTGTTGTTCCTAATTAAACTAATTGTGAGAGGGGTGTTGTTTGAGAACCAGTCATTTTGGGTGAACAATCCTGCCTATAAATATCTGAAGTTCCTAATAAAGTTTCACTTCGCGCCTCCTGAGTTTTAGAGTCAATGCCGTTGCTTCTCACCGTTCCTAATCCAACGACGACAAGAAACAACAGCAAATAACGACTGAATACAAAACTGCTCAACCCTGTGGACTCCCCAAAACAAAAAAGAGACCCCAAACAAAAATTGCCAAGCACAAGCCCCCAAGGTGTGCATGCAGTCAAAGGACAAAGGGAAAATGGTGTCAGTCGTTTCTCCACCGCCCCGCTCCGTTCTCTTATCTCTCACTGGACTTATCTCCTGTGGGCTGGAGCCCTGCCTGAAGTTCTGTGGGTTCAGGGCTGCCAGCTCACGGAGGGCACCTGTGCTGCTGGAGGCAGGGGCAGTCAGAGGGCGGCCG